TGATGATTCTCGATCATAAAATCGGTTTTGAAATAAGCACACGGAACGATAGCCTGAAGTGTCTACTTTCAGAATCTGTAAAGATTTTGGTTATAGAAGTGATTTTTCGTCGCTTTCAAGCAAGTTTCCTAGGAGCCTCCCAAAACAGGATCTTGTAGTTATGTGTCCAGATTAAAACAAAACAAACTCGAACCAGTCCATGTAGTTATGTGTCCAGTTTAAAATAAAACAAACTCGAACATTCTAACTTGAAGTATATTAAAAAATCTTCGGAAATACTTCATGGACCATTTCAAACCTTGATCACTGAAAAACTCCTGAACGGTGAGACTTTCAGACAAAAAGAATTTTACATTCCCGTAACTCATTCTGCCCAACATTTATGGAAAGTTTCGTCAAGATCGGATACGTTTAAAGCATTTTTGTAAGCTAAACGAGTGTAAAAGTTACCGATTATTTATCAAACTACTATTTTCCCAAGAAGTTACTGTCCTTCCATCCCACTTATGTGTTTGACATACAGCAGTTTCGAACATCTGAATATTCGTGATAACGACTTTTTTTTAAAGCCAAATACCTGGCATACAAACACCATATTTTTCACTTCAGTGACTGAGAAAAGAGAAAAAACTAGTGAAGCCCTTACCAGAACGGACATCATAATCAGAGAATGACCCACTAAGCGAAATATCTGATACAAAATGTGCACCGTGTAGTTAAGGAATTTGAATAATACGAATTTAGTCTAGAGTCTATGAAATATCGATTATTAATTAAGTGTATGTAAGGGTCGATATTAGAAAAAAATTGTTTTTGACAAACAGAATGGTTTTGTAAAGTTTTGAAAAAATGGTCGTACTTAAAGCAGGCAATGATATAAGACATTCCCAACAGCCATCGACATAAACTGTCAGATATTTAGTTTTAAAAAAAGTCGTTATCACGAATATTCAGATGTTCCAAACTGCTGTATGTCAAACACATAAGTGGGATGAGAAGACGGTAGATATCTGACATCTTGAATTGCGAGTTATGTAATATATGTCAGAAGATTACCACGTTTATCAGTATCACTCATAAGTTCGATGTGCGTACTTCCAGTACTGGAAATAGTTCTTCAATTGGTTTAAACTGCCCTTAAAAACGTGATTATTACTAAGGGAGTAGTTCTGCACTTTTCGTTCATGACATAAGTTATAAATCGGAACTAATAAAAAACAGGTATTTTCCTCATTATAAGCACAGATATCATTATCTATTCAGACCTCATCAATGCAACCAACTATGAAAGCTTTTTATCATACACAACATTTGTGATTTGCCGACTTCCTCTGTATGAATACGTGAAACTAATAATGTAAATACATGCAGCAGAAAACGTATTGAGTTAAAAACGCAGTCCCAAATAGCATCTAAACTTTCACTTTGATCACCACTCTAGAAACGCGATACATCCGATGACTATTTGTGACCGTGAAAGACAAGTATGTGGCATCTTGCTTTTGCTGATGTGCCTGTTATCCAATAGTAATGGGCTACCTGTATGCAAAAGTTCAGAATTACCTTGTGGTACCACGTGCTACCTGTCATTCCAGGATACATGCTACGATAATAAAATACTGCGCAAAGTTGGATTATCCATCTGTGGCACCACGTGCTATAGTCAATATCAGCAGAAATGCATAAATAACGTTCTGCATTAATTTCACATGTATGTAGCGAACTTTTATTTCTTGTGAAGTAATTGTTTTTATGAAATGAAACTCGGTTTGTTATCTGAATTTCGTATACTAGAACTTTTAACATGCACTACTAGAGACGGGGTGTAACATTCATTCATTTTTTCGGTGCAATTGACACGAATTCGTCTTTTGTTTGAAATATTAACGAATGTAACGAATTTGTGTTGAAAAAATTAAATTAGAAAATTTGATTTAATTGATTGAATCAAATTGAAGTAGTGAGAAAAGAGAAAAGCTAGTGAAGTTGTTACTAGAACGAACATCATCATCAGAGAACGACCTACTAAGCGAAATACGTAATAAAAAACTGTGCACCATGTAAGAATGAAAGTCAAATAGGAAAAGAAAATTTACAACTCCAGTGTTCTATTTGCAACAAAAAACGGTCATAAGTGTCACAGCGTTACCGTTTTTCTGATTTTTCTTTGATTTTGAGTCGTTATCACGAATATTCAGATGGTCGAAACTGCTGTATGTCAAACACATAAGTGGGATGGAAGGACAGTAACTTCTTGGGAAAATAGTAGTTTGATAAATAATCGGTAACTTTCACACTCGTTTAGCTTACAAAAATTCTTTAAACGTCGCCGAGTTAATTCAAATAAGTCAAATTGACGATGAGCTTTGAAAAACGCGACACTAGTGGGAACAATTAACGTATAAACTTTTCTCTTTCAAAATATAAATTAGATAAATTCCACTAACGAATTTCTAAATTGAAGGTATTAAAAAAATATGAAATCACTTTTGCATGAATGATTCGAATATGTGAATTTGTTATTGTTTTACCAGGAAACTAATTCATTCTTCTTAGGCAATACAAGGCTGGAGATGAAGATGTATTGCGAATTATTCGTCAAATTGAAAATGAATTGGAACCAATACTTCATGAAAATGATATGAACGTGCCAGATGAACATGAAAAACGTATTAAATTTTTATTAGGGATACTTACATCTGTCAGTGATATTACTGCTTACTTTCCGTCGTTGGCAAAACAATTAATGGATGAAGTATTGCAACAAAGACATTCATGAAATAAAAATTCTACGTCTTTTGTGACAAAACTAGCTGCTACTAATATAAAACTGTTTCAACAGTAACTATGACTGCAAACAATTGAAACAAATACAAATTCAGGCTACCTTTCAACGTTTAGAGATGTGGATAAAAGTCAATTAGCAACAAGTCCACAATCAGAACTAAGTTCTGTGTTATACACAAATACCCGCTCATCATCATTGTCCCAAGTGACACGGAAAAAAGACGTCTCTATGGTCACAATTGAAAAATCGAAATCAAAGTTTATGTTACATTAAAGAGAACTGTTGCAAGCATTACTTCCACTCAGATACAATTATTTATTCTATTCTTTATTGTTTTATCTTGGTAGTTTTAATGAATTGTAAGAATGTTTTAAGCTTATTAAAGATAGAAATGTTTTTTGACAGTACATCACTTCATACATACGAGACGAGTTATTCCAACAAACTGGAGAATATGTGATATGAATTGCGATGATTTCGCTTAATGGAAAAAATTCGCCTCATAGAAATAATGTTAAGAATCAGTCAAGTTAATTATCTAATTTGATAAAGTAATGAATTGACCTAACATTGAATACGACGTGGTTTTCTCTCCTAACCGAACACATGTTTACATCCGATTAAAAATCATCATTAATTCTCTTTATAGAACTTGACACATCAAATGAATATGGATTTTTATAATACACTGGTTGAAATAAGCATCATACATCTACTAAAACATTTCTTTGATTCTCACATAAAATTTATAAGTTTATTTCTGTTAATTAGTATTCCATTTGCACACGAGTTCACTGTTTTATACAATATCTGCATATACTCTACGATTGTGAGAATTTTCCCAGAAGAAGAACAAAAAAGAATTTTATGTATTCACTCAGAGAGAAACGACTAGAAAGATCTGATACGAGATCAACAGGCTGTAAAAGTTTCGAGACGAAATCATCATTTTTTTACGTCATGTAGTTAACTTAAATATAATTCATTTGGTAAGTAGTTTTTGTGTTCGATGAATGATATGTGGATAGACAATCCAGTGTTCTCACAGTAACAAGATACCATTTTTTATACGATTTAGGAATAGAGGTGAGCAGCATTTTAAATAAGAAGATGGAAAGAAGTAAAAATCCACTTCCTCGTTATGCAAAGAGAAATTTTGACTTCAAATTTTTTCAGAAATTTAACCTCTTGAATGCCGTTATTTTTCCTCTTCCGCGTCCAAAGGCATGCATATGTAAAAAAACGATTAAATATCTCTCTTTGCGTTCTGTTGTTTTCGTCACATGTGTTCCTCCGGCACGTTTTTTCATTGAAACGATAGAACGAAAAAGCATATGCAACATATAAAATTTCCTTCATGTCGTCTATAGATGCCTTACGACATTCAAGAGGTTAATCTTTCATAATCCTAAACACGAACGTGAAACGTATTATTTAATATCTAACGCATATGAAAAATATCTAACGCATATGAAATGAAACATTGTGTGTCATTTTTAACTATTTTACTTCAGAGAAAAGCAGCAAGCAAATGCCATCCAGAATGATGAATATGCGAATAATGAACAGATTGATGACACATTTTGCAAGATTGTACTCAGCCGTGGTTGAAAAAATGCTATATGTCCAACATGTCATCGTCTATATCTAATCCGGCGGATATGGTAGTTTATGCCACTGAGTGTTGTTGTGGAGCGTGAGGGTGAGGGGATGCAAGCGAATACATTTATTCGAAGGGTTGTCGTCCTGCAATCAAACGACGGCACGCTAAAGGACGAAGAAAACGGATTATACGAACTGAAGTGTGGGATAGAAGCATTTGCGTGTGCTGCTATTTGCTCACATCAGGTCATACTCTTATGAGAAAAAAGAAAACGATTCCCTTCCTTCACCCTAAGCCATGCTCATTCGACTAAAGCACCATTGATTGAACATTTTTAGTCTGATGTGCACGTTACAGAGACATTCACTGTCAATGTCAAGAAATCTAGTTCATTAGAATTTAATATATCAGTGTTGCCGAGGTCTCTCGCTGATCATATTTCATTAAAAAACGAAAATAAATATATTTTTGAAAGAAGAAAACATTTTATGCATGACACTTCAGCAAAGAGAAAAAGTAGACTTTAGGAGCTTTTATCGGTTCTAACGGAATTACATCGACTTACTGGACTTAGATGAACTGTTGTAATCTATGTAAATTCAAAATTTAACAGATTTTTATGGATTTACTGAGGTGTTTGTTTGGACCCTATCTGTCCATCTTCACAGTAATATTCATCTCTCAACCTTTTCTATTGTTTAGCAGATAAACTGATTTTTGTCATCAAAATCGTGAACGGAATTTCAGCCGATGGACCAAATTTTGTTCCTCTTAGTTTTATCATCCAGTGACCTTCAAGTATCCACTTAGAGGATTGAGCTTTTACCTCATCAAGGAAAATTACTTAGAGTATTTTTAATGCGTTGGACATCTGGTCGAGTGAGATCGGTTAAAACAGACAGGCCATGGTAGTAAACTAGTGATGATGAGAAACGGCAGTTTCTGTTCGATATTCTTTTTATAAGGCCCCTAATGATCAAAATAAGACCCCTCCAACTCTGTACAATCTTGTGTTAAAAAGCTACAATCATTTTCGTATAACTGAGGATTTCTAGAAAACCAGAAGGCGTTTTACAGGCTTTTGAGCTTCTCAGTGGCCTACCAAACGAACAAACGCTTAAAAAATCAAAACCCGTCAGCCCATCCAGCTAGGTGTCTAGTTTCAAATAAAACAAACCCGAACTCTTCGCCTTGAACTATATTTTGCCAGTTTCCTCATAATATTTCACGGCCTGAGAACATTCGCCTTGAGCCATGTACACTCCACCAATGTTGTTGTACGTTGTTGCAACACTTGGATGGTTCGATCCCAAAGTCTTCAATCTGATATCAAGAGTTTGCTCATAATATTTCAATGCCTGAGAACATTCGCCTTGAGCCTTGTACACTCCACCAATGTTGTTCTACGTTGTTGCAACACTTGGATGGTTCGATCCCAAAGTCTTCAATCTCATTTCAAGAGCTTGCTCATAATATTTCAACGCCTGAGAATATTCGCCTTGATTCTTATACACTGCACCACTGTTGTTGTACGTTACTGCAACAGTTGGATGGTTCGGTAGCAAACTTTTCAACTGGATTTCAAGAGCTTGCTCATAATATTTCAATGCCTGAGAATATTCCCCTTGATCCTCGTACACTCCACCAATGTTGCGGTACGCTGTTGCCACAGTTGGATGGTTCGGTCCAAAAGTCTTCAACTTGATTTCAAGAGTTTGCTCATAATATTTCAATGCCCGAGAATATTCGCCTTGGTCATTGTACACTCCACCAATGTTGTTGTACGTTGTTGCAACACTTGGATGGTTGTTCAATTCGATTTCAAGAGTTTGCTCATAATATTTCAATGCCTGAGAATATTCGCCTTGATCCTCGCACACTCCTCCAATGTTGCGGTACGTTGTTGAAACAGTTGGATGGTTCGATCACAAAGTCTTCAGTAGGATTTCAAGACTTTGCTCATAATATTTCAATGCTTCAGAATATTCGCCTTGACCCTTGTAAACCATTCCAATGTTGTTGTACGTTGTTGCAACAGTTTGATGGTTCGATCCCAAAGCCTTCAATAGGATTTCAAGAGTTTGCTCATAATATTTCAATGCGTGAGAATATTCGCCTTGATCCTCGTACACTCCACCAATGTTGCGGTACGCTGTTGCAACAGTTGGATGGTTCGGTCCAAAAGTCTTCAACTTGATTTCAAGAGCTTGCTCATAATATTTCAATGCCCGAGAATATTCGCCTTGGTCATTGTACACTCCACCAATGTTGTTGTACGTTGTTGCAACACTTGGATGGTTGTTCAATTCGATTTCAAGAGTTTGCTCATAATATTTCAATGCCTGAGAATATTCGCCTTGATCCTCGCACACTCCTCCAATGTTGCGGTACGTTGTTGAAACAGTTGGATGGTTCGATCACAAAGTCTTCAGTAGGATTTCAAGAGTTTGCTCATAATATTTCAATGCCGGAGAATATTCGCCTTGATGACTGTACACTCCACCAATGTTGTTGTACGTTTTTGCAACACTTGGATGGTTCGGTCCCAAAGTCTGCAATTGGATTTCAAGAGTTTGCTCATAATATTTCAATGCCTGAGAATATTCGCCTTGATCCAGGTACACTCCACCAATGTTGTTGTACGTTTGTGCAACAGTTGGATGGTTCGGTCCCAAAGTCTTCAGTAGGATTTCAAGACTTTGCTCATAATATTTCAATGCCTGAGAATATTCGCCTTGATCATTGTATACTGTACCAATGTTGTTGTACGTTTTTGCAACACTTGGATGGTTCGGTCCCAAAGTCTTCAGTAGGATTTCAAGACTTTGCTCATAATATTTCAATGCTTCAGAATATTCGCCTTGACCCTTGTAAACCAGTCCAATGTTGTTGTACGTTGTTGCAACAGTTTGATGGTTCGATCCCAAAGGCTTCAATAGGATTTCAAGAGTTTGCTCATAATATTTCAATGCCTGATAATATTCGCCTTGATGACTGTACACTCCACCAATGTTGTTGTATGTTTTTGCAACACTTGGATGGTTCGGTCCCAAAGTCTTCAGTAGGATTTGAAGAGTTTGCTCATAATTTTTCAATGCTTTAGAATATTCGCCTTGATGACTGTACACTCCACCAATGTTGTTGTACGTTTTTGCAACAGTTGGATGGTTCGGTCCCAAAGTCTTCAGTAGGATTTGAAGAGTTTGCTCATAATATGTCAATGCCTGAGAATATCCGCCTTGATCCTCGTACACTCCACCAATGTTGTTGTATGTTGTTGCAACACTTCGATGGTTCGGTCCCAAAGCGTTCATTTTGATTTCGAGGGTTTGCTCATAATATTTCAATGCCTGAGAATATTCGCGTTGATTACTGTACACTGTACCAA